AGCGGATCATCAGCCACCCTCATCTGAGATCTCAAGAGTTTCCAAGGCTTAAATGCCACCAGCAGCCATTTTCATAAGCAAAACCCGTAGAGTGGTTGGGGGGTCGTGCAGAACTGGAAGGAGATTCCTGCATCTTCAACAAAGTACTGGGCAGGCTGAGCTCTTCCTCGGGATTTGTCTAAGTTTCCAACTTTTGCCTGTGCTAGAATCATCTGGGGGCTGCGAAGACACAGAGTCCTGGCTGTACCCCAGAGCTTCAGATTCTGTGGGTCTGTGTAGGCCCACAGGACTTGATAGGACTCAAGAACTAGCCTAATAGAAATAGCCTTTTTCTTTCTTTCTTATCTTTTCTTTCTTTCTTTTTTCTTTTCTTTTTCTTTTAATATTTTACTGTTGGAGATTCATTGAGGGTACAGAGAATCAGGTTACACTGGTTGCATTTGTTAGGTAAAGTCCAAGAGGTATGTCACACACCGTGAGACCCCAGTCCCCTCCCTCCTTCCTTTTCTCTACTCTCACCCCCCACCTTGTACTAGGTCATCAATTGTCCAAATATCAGAATTGAGTACATTGGACTCTTGCTTCTCCATTCTTACAATGCTTTACTAAGAAGAATGTGTCCCATCTCCATCCAGATTAATACAAAAGATGTAAAGTCTCCATATTTTTTAGTGACTGAATAGTATTCCATGGTATAAAAATACCACAGTTTATTAATCCATTCCTGGATTGGTGGGCATTTAGGCTGTTTCCTCTTTTTTGGGGGGGGTGTCAGAGTCTCACTCTGTTACCCTGGTTAGAGTACCATGGCATCATCATAGCTCACAGCAACCTCAAACTCTTTTTTTTTTTTTTTTTAGACAGAGCCTCAAGCTGTCACCCTGGGTAGAGTGCTGTGGCATCACAGCTCACAGCAACCTCCAACTCCTGGGCTCAAGCGAGTCTCTTGCCTCAGCCTCCCAAGTAGCTGGGACCACAGGCGTCCGCCACAACGCCTGGCTATTTTTTTGGTTGCAGCTATCATTGTTGTTTGGCGGGCTGGGCTGGATTTGAACCACCTTAGGTGTATGTGGCAGGCACCTTAGCCACTTGAGCCACAGGCACAGAGCCAGCAACCTCAAACTCTTGAGCTCAAGCAATCCTCCTGCCTCACCCCCTGATTAGCTGGGACTATAAGCCCCCATCACAAAGCCCAGGTAATTTTTTCTATTTTTAGTAGAGATGGAATCTCACTCTTGCTCAGGCTGGTCTCAAACTCCTAAGCTCAAGTGATCCTCCTGCCTAGGCTTCCCAGAATGCTAGGATTACAGGCATGAGCCACTGTGCCCTGCCAAGTGGGGCACAGAATTTCTCACGACTTCCCAGGTGATGCTGCTGCTCCAAGGGCCACACTTTGCAAGCTGCTCCTCGAAGGTATAGGCAGAAACTCAGAAGTGGGCTCCAAGGTCAGCACCAGCCAAGGGCAAGAGACTGAGGCACCCGGGTGGGCAGCCAGCTGTGCCTTTCAGGTCCTGGTGTCCATGCCAATGGCTCCTAGAGGGATCAATCTGTATTGTCCATCTTCACTGAGGCCTCTGCTCAAATGTCACAGCCTCAGGAAGCCATTGGTGACAGCAGGTACCGTGGCCCCTCACTGCTGACCACGCTGCTCCCTCTCACAGTCTGTCACTGTGCAGTACAGAAGCTGCATCTCCTCCTTTGTTGTTTATGAGTTTATTGTCCACTTCACCCCATAGGAGGTGAGTTTCTGGAGAGCAGTGGCTCTGTCTCCTCACCATTGAATCTGCCGTCGCTAGAACAATACCCAGCCGGTGCCCACGTGTGTGTTGTGTGATGGTGGCTTTGCCTATCCCAGGGAGGCAAATGGAATTTTTGGTGCTCCTTGCAGGTGGTACAGAAAAGGTATCCTTGGCCACATCACCCACCCTGACCCATTCCCCGGATCCTTAGCAGATCAGTTCTACAAAGTTTTGGCAACGGGTGTGGTGACAGCAAACCCACAGCATGTGGCTCCCACCACCCCACTGTCATCTCCCAGGAGCCATCAGATTGTGCACCAAACAAAGAGGGGAAAGAAATGGGATGTGGCAGAAATAATGGCCCTTGTCCTGGGAGTTCCTCATGGTGACAAGAGCTTATTTCCGCAGCACTAACAGTGTTCTGACCTTGGGTCTCTGATTAGCAGGCATCTGGCTCCCAACTGTCCCCTCTTTGGGGATGTCCTTGGCCCTCAGGAAGCCCCAGTTAGAGAATCAGGGGCTGCAGAGGTGTCCAGGGGGTGCAGTCAGGGGCTCACGGACCTTGTGGTGGGGCTGGCTACTATTTGACCATAGAAAAGCCCAGATGGCTCAGCGCCTGTGGCTCAAGCAGCTAAGGCGCCAGCCATATACACCTAAGGTGGCGGGTTCGAATCCCCAGCCTGGCCC